AAATAGGAATGGAGAGGAGAGGACAGTACAATGCTGAGGGCAAGTGAAAAAAGCAAATAAAAGATTCATTGTTTTGAATAGTTATACAAACAGCATTTCAAGGGAAGCCAACAACAGCTAAGCATGAAAATCTACTGGGGCAGAGGAGCATAATAATGAGACTGTGGAGCAGTTTCTTTTTAATAGCATCCAGGTTAAAGGCAGATGAGATAGTTTAGGCCCTTCCACAATCTATTTATTGTATGCATCGTATTAGACTTATTAGAAGGCAGTTTATTGGATTGTGTTTGTCTTCCCCCACACCCTTGTTTAACATGTCAACATTTTCTATCTTCTTAATACAAGAGAAAATGTCATTGCTTAATCAGAGGTGCTAACAGTTTTCTTCTGGATGTAAATTTGCTTGTTGTGTAACAGGAATGCATTAGTCTTAGCAAAAGTATAAGAAAATGAAAGGCAGCGAGAAGTAGCTCCATTGTTACCACTCCAGGCGTGTCTAATGAATCGTGTTTCCATGTTCCCTCGATCATGCTGCGGAGTGCCCTTAGCAGGGCTAAGTCTTCTGTAAAATGCTCTTTAAGATTATTGTTGAAAGCACAGAAACGCTGGATGGGTGTTTGGTGGTAGTGGTGGAGGGAATGTTAATGAGGCAACTGCATTTCAGTCAGTACAGCTGCTAGGATTTCTTGCCATGGCTGGAGCAGCAGTGACAGACAACTGTTCCAGCTCAGCATAAAGCCCTTTTCTCAGGGACGCAGGTTGTCAGATACTTGGTTGGCAATGCTCCTTTATAACTATACGGTTGTGTTTTGTTTTTTAAAAAACTCTTGTGCTGGAGAAGCAAAGAAAATAAATGCCTGGCTGGGAAGGGTCTACTACTTAGAAACCCATAGAACCGTAGAGTTGGAAGGGACCCGAAGGGTCATCTAGTCACCAGGAGTAAAAGTAGCCATGCCTTCATCAACAACAACAACAACAACAGCAGCAGCAGCAGCAGCAGCAGCAGCAACCACCACCACCACAACAACCACCACCCCACAGATTTTTGTTTTGATTTTTGCTCTGCTTGTATTAATGCCCATATGAACTGTATGTGTGCTTTCAAAAATATTTTGATTTGTAGTGGTTTTGTCAATGGAATCAGATGTGGCCTGTGATTTGATGGCGGGTTGTTGTTGTTTTGTTTGTTTGCATGCATGGGAAGGCCGTGGGGGAAAGTATACAATTTTATGTGTAATCATTTTGTTGGATTCAATGTATGTTTCTCTGTGTTCACACACACATGCTTGTCATAATTCAAGGGTAGGTTTGGTCTTAGGTTCATTAGTTCTCATAGCTGTTTTTGAGAGGGGAGACAAAATGAGGACACTTCAGATACGAGTTTTGGACTGTCTTCTTTTGATGATGAAGGGAAATCTCATAGTTAAAGTTTAAAAGTGTGTCCACTTTTGCATAATGCTCTAGTCCAGGTAGCATTGCGAGAGCTCACCTTTGCAAACATTCATGCAGGGAAGAGTGGTCTGTGTCCCTCCAGTGGTGTTGGACACCAACACCCAACCAGCATGATCAATGGTCATTTGTAGTCCAGCAATATTTGGAGGACCACAGGTTGTTGAATTAGAGCTAAATATGTTCTGATAACCATTTTGTTGTTTGTATTGCTGAAAACAGTACAAGCTGTTACTATCTACATGTTGGGAGATGTGAATGGTATTACTAGTGCTATAGCAATGTTGAGTGAATGGTGTGCAATAGGCTTCCATTTGTTTCTGATTACAACCTTATTTTTATATTGTGTTTCTCCTCAGATTTAAAAGGCTTTGTGTAGATAGTTGTGCACAACTTCATTTTAAAAAGAGGTTGTTTCACACTAGCTGGAGGTTACAGACTGACCAAGCTGTTCAATTTCTTGAGCGTTTTGAGTGACTGCACTGTAAACTGTATTTGCAAGAGTGTCAAAACAAACAGTGCATTTTAGTACTGATGGTTTGTGGTTGTACAAAGGAAGGTACTTCCACAGTTCTGAGGAGAACTGATGCCACATTTCTTTAGCTATGACCTGTGTAAGGACATCAGAGCAGGAAGTATGCTTGCACCTGGTATAGTATCAAGTCCATTTAGTCACTAAGGACTTTGAACACAAATCTTACAGGAGAATCAATGGCGATGTAACAATGATCGATCAATAGCATTGCATTTAATTAGATATTTTATGGCCTTAATGCAGTATTTCAGAATCAATGTAGCATTGCACTCCTTTGCTGCTTTTTTGTATGTCAATTTCCAGGACACATTGATACATCTGCATTTGTCACTAAACGGCTTCACTGTAGACAAATTTAATCTAAAATGAAATGAAAGCTTTAGTATAGGCTTTCGGTAATTGAATTTTTGATATATTTATTTAATGCAGACATTTGCCAGTGAATTGGATTTTTAAATTGATTTTTAAAAAAGAAAACCAGGAAGAAGTGATACTGTAGGGAAAAGGAGCCCCAAACCCTGCTTACCACATAACTCCTCCTGTAGTTGCTTACTTCCTTGTCACAGGCACCCTCCTATCTTTCGGTAGAACAGAGCAATAAATTGATTTCCAGTCATTTTTAATGGTGAAACAACTAGTATTATCCTATAGAGTATGTTCCCCTTCATATTCACAGTGGCCAATATGGTTAGAGTACTCAATGTTCAGAGTAAACAGGTTTAATTAGTCCTGCTGTGGGAGGTAGAAAAGCTCTGTATTTCGGCCTTCCTCACATGCATGCAGATTTCTTGTTTAAGGGTTGAAGTACATGTTACAGTCATACCTCGTGTTGCATTAGGGTCATGTTGCGCCTTTTTGGCTTGCAAACGCAGCTTCGCACATGCACAGAAGCACTCTGTCGTGCTCCGTGCTTGTGCAGAAGTGCCACTCTAATTGCAGACTTTTCGGGATGTGAACGGCACCACGGAATGGATCGTGTCCGCCCTAGAGGTACCACTGTACATGAGAAATCTGTGAGCAGAATTCCCAATGTTATGCTTTTTACTTGAAAGCAGATAGGGATGTATGTATGGAATGCCCTAATTTTGATAGCGGCAGTAGCATTGGGGAAGGGTGGAGCTAATACTATATGGTAGAAGTGGTATTATATCAGATAAATGGTGTGGGAGAAAGGTTTAAGCCCACTTTTCCCCAGGGACATTGCTCTGATCAAATAAGAGCCCCATTCCCTTCCGAGCTACTTTCAAATAGTTTTACTTAATTTTCAAAATAAGGTTTGAGGGAAGCAGAATGGTACATGTAAAACAGTGAAATTTAGATTTTCTGGAGCTAAACATTCCCCCCCCTTTTTTTTCTTTTTGGTGTACAGTGCAGGAAGCTGGATTTTCTTTAGTGGTATCCTCCAGAGCAGTTCAAATGCGTAGTAATTTTTGCATTCCCATACCCCATCAATAGATTGTTTGAAGTCTTTACTAGCATATACCTGTTTTCCTTACTATAAATGCTTCTGCTATTCATTCTAGTGGGAATTACTTGAGTATTCCCACATGCAACTTAATTATATCTTATTATATTTATATTACTTGTAATATAATATGTTTATTATACTGTCTAATTAATGCAATATGTTATTTGCTTTCTGTTTTCCCCATGGGGTCTCTTATATCTGTTTCTGTCTTGCCCCAGCTTCCTGCAGGTGGTACTTGGGCAGGGAGCGAGAAGAATCTGCTCAGTAAAATGCTCATATATTTTAGCGAAGGGGGGAAGTAAAGAATTGTGAGGGGCACAAAATTGGTTTTTGGCTTTTGTATGTGAGAGAGATTACTAGGAATGTTAAAAACAAAGGTTATATGCACCCATAACCAAGGTTTTTAAAAAAGCTCCTTTGAGTGTTTTTACTATTCATTTACTGAAATGTATCTGAGCCAGTTAGACACAGTGATCTCCAGGCGATGGTAGCTTGGCACTGCAAAAGTCTGAGAATGGACCAGCCAAAGGAGCAGAAGCTGAAAGTGCCATCTCCTATAAGTGTTCTCCCATAAAATGAAACTTGCAAGGCACTTTTTGAACATTTGCATGCTTTTGAGGTGTTTGCTTTTCAGCTGAAGCCAAGCGTTTGACCGATTAACGTAAACAAATTTGTGAAGGGGGGGAGAGCCCCTCCCTCGGTTTTGGCTTCCTCCAGAGTTACCATGCGTGCCTGCTTTTTTCTTGTCAGTCTCTTGCCTCCTTCACCCAGCCATCTTTTCCTCAGAATTCTATTTGTCAGGATGCAGTTTCCTTGATCATTCTTCCTTCAGTTACCTTGTCTTTGGGCTCCCTAGCCTTCAACTTGACTGCTCTTCCTGCTTGGTTACTTATTCTTAAATTGCTTTTTTTAAAAACAACAACACCCCAGTTATCTTGCTTCTGTTTTCATTTTGTGTCACTTGCAGAAATCACATAATGTGCTTTCACTCATTTTTTTGTCATAGTGCGTATTATTAAAGGCCATAACCTCTTTATATGTGTGAAATGTGTGAATTCATAATGTGGAGTTAAGCACTTCAGTTTACCTGGTTTTAGGATCATTTTAATTTGAATGGCAATCCTGCTTGGTCAACTTGCTTCACCTTAAATAACTTGCTTCACTCATCCCATAAAGTTTGCATAAACCTGAAATAGGCTTTCTATTAAACTGGGAGGAGGATGGATACCTTGTTACAGTTGATTTCTAACTGAAGCAGTTGGTAGTACTGTAATGCATATTGGTACTTGCTTAGGTAAGCAGGAAGACCAACCCTCACTAATCTGGTGCCCTCCAGATGTTTTGGACTATAGCTCCCATAATCCCCTGGTGCTAGTCAGCATGGGCAGTAGTCAGGAATTAAGGCAATTGTAGTCTGATACTTTGGGATGGCTCCAGCTTGGATAGTCCTTCTAAAAACCCGGCTGAATTATGTTTTTGTTTCCTTGAATGATTAAACCCTTCTCTCGTTTTCTGGATGATAGGCTAACACTTTGCCTGTTTTTACAGTGGTGGAAGAAGGACTTTGGGAGAATGGGCTTTCATATGAGTGCAGGACACTGCTTTTCAAGGCAATCCACAACTTGCTGGAAAGGTAAGAGAACTCCATCTGTTCAGAGGGGTCTGTTAATGTTGGTTTGGGCTACCGACTTGTCCTGTCACCAACCCCATCCTCATAAGTCCCCCAAGCTTGTGCAGAGGATTGGATCAAGGGGAGAAAGAGGTGGAGAATATTCTCATTATAACCACTTTGATCAGCAGAACTGTTACTGCTACAGTTGCTACACAATACTTGTTTCGTAGTTGTTAAAAAATTGATCTTTGACTGTGGCACACCTATATTTTGGAAGTCTCTGTCCATTGACATCAGGCTAGTGCCTTTTAAAAAAAAGATGTTTGTATTTCATTTTGCAGTATTTAATGAACAAGAACTGTTAACAACATCTTGACTGTCTTTGCATTGTTCACTCATAAGAACATTAAAAATACCATGAACGAAAGGAAACTGCATTGTCACACCATACAAACACCATACGATAATATAATCAAGGAGATCTCTCCAAACTCCACCATGAGACGCCGAGGGAATCCTTGTTGGTTCTTCCTGTCTCATGTAAGATATAAGTAGTTTCCATGCCATGTATAAAGAAAAGGGGCTTGTCCTTCCTTTAGTCACATGGATGTAGCATGTTAGTTTTTCTCCCAGTGCTACTGACCAGACCCTTTGGTGCCATACTTCAGTTGCCAGGCCTTCACCAGCATTTCTTGGTTTCCAGAGAAGCTGCTATCAGCAGAAACGACAGAATATATTTATATACGGTATGAAGTCTGGTGTCATTCATTATCACCACTAGTACAAATGCTGGAGACATTTTGATGTTTGTCTTGTAAATGTTTTCCACTTCTTTGAAAATGTATGTCCAAAAGGTAAGCACATGTTAGCAATATCACCATAGGTGTAGGGAAGTTCCTGTGCAGTCACAGCCTCTCTGGCGCAAGGAGCCAAGTGGCCAAGTGTCATATGCCTTTAAGGCTGACATTTGTTTCTTATTGGTTACTGCTATTTTCACACACACACACACACACACTCACACACCCCTATGTGTATATATGTACAAACTTAGGATCTGCAGCACATCGCAATATGAAATGTCTCTGCTCAGTGCACCAGCAACTAACTTGAAGGTATTGCATTACATTCTCCTGGATTTCTGGTGTTCTCCCCCAGCCCCAAAGAGAGAATTAGCATCCCACTGTCACATTGTGCTGTTTGGGAGTTGTTCTTTCAAAGTAGGGTGATGATTCTGAACTTTTTCAAACTTTGGGGTTCATCCAAGTTTGCTGGTACTTCCCTCTTTATGCTTAGGTGATACCGTTTTGGCTACATAAGGTTAGCTGCTTGGATAATGAGTTTCTGATTTGTATATCTTTGATACTCAATTCATACAAGAAGGAAGTACTACAGTATAAGCAAGTGATTCAGTGGCATGCAGTGTGTCCTGGATGGGGCTCTGCAGTTTGGGGATACTCATGATCTATCTAGCATTGTCACTGGAGTCACAGCTGGCCTTGGTGGTCCAGAGTGCCTTTTATCAGCTTCAGTTGAAAACACAGCTGTGGTCCAAATAGACAGAGAGCCAAGCTACAGTTAGCTATGCTCTGGTAACTTCATGCTTAGAGTACGGCAATACATTGTGCGTTGAATTGCCTTAAAAAAAAAAAGTCCAAAAATTCAGTTAAACACAACACAAAAATTGTGCTTCAAGGTTTGCTAACTGGGGCTGGACATATTAAGGAAGTGCTTTGTCAGTCCCATGGGCTTTTGATACATTTCCAGGCCCTCGGTTTAAAGTTTACATTCCTAAATGGCTTAGGGCTAGGTTTTTCCATATATTTTTATCTGGACATTGCTTTGCTCATTGGAGGTTGTTCCCCAAGTGCCACTCCCAAGTGGATCTATTGAGTGTCTGAAAGTGAGAGGGCTTTCTCTATGATAGCACCCTAGTTGTGGAACGGAGGTCTATTTCACATCCATTTTGGAATCATGTGTAGCCCTCCCTTTAAAAAACAAGCAAACCTCAGGGTTTTTAACATATTTCAATGTTTTGACTTGAAAAAGGTTTCAAGTCTTGTCTGTGCTTTATTTTATTTGCTTCATCTCTTGCTGTGACGCTGTAATTGCTCTTTTTTAAAAAAACCAAAACCATTCATAATGTATTTTAACATCTTTTTGTATACCACTCAGAAAACTTTCATTAAGGGGTGTCATAGAAATAGTTTTGTGTTGTTTCCTTGAAAGTTGTAGCCTGGCCCTAGTATTCCAGGAAAACAGCCAAAAAGAACATTACAGTTAACAGTTAATTTTCCGCATTTCTAGAAGTCTTTTACATACGCTGAAAGTTTTGTGAAGATTAATTGCAATTAAGGGAACAATCCTAACCCCTGCCAAAAGCCAGATGAGGGCAGTTAGGTCAAGGCAGGAGGACCAGCAGAGAGGAGCTCCATGTGTGGGGAAGCCTGTCTGCCCTGGCATGCCTGCAAAAAGCTTTGTGGGCATAGATGTAGTACCAACAGTGTATCAGCTGGTAGTATAAGGGCTGAAATAGAGTGTGCCAGGAGGGTCAGTTTCTAATGTCCCCATCAGTCCCCAGATTACTTTCAAAAGAAACTTGGGGGGTGGGGCAGAATGCCCACCTATCTTCTGACTTCGCTTTGCTCTTAGCAGCACATCCAACACTGAACTCTCCCTGCCGCCACTTGAACTTGCTTTGTAAAATGCCAATTTTGTTCTAATGAAGCTTATGCTTTTAAATAAAATGTTTGACCTTCATTTGACAATACTTGACCAGTCAGCTGAGCAGTTTTTTTGGGGGACCATTAGTACCAACATCCAGCTAATAAAAAGCTGTCTGTTGTACATATTGAAAGTGGTAAACATCTTTCTCTCTCTCAAATTTTAATTTTGAATCAGCTAGATGGGCAAGCCTGCTTTGGAAACGAGTTCCCTTGAAATTAAATATGATTCCGTTCCAAGTTACTGTGCTTGAGACTGGAGTATCAGAAGCTAATGGGGAGCAGCTCTTTTCAAGGAGTTCCATAGATGGAAGCCTTGAGGGAGGCCAGTGATACACCAAGGCTGATATCATTAGCACAAAAGAGCAGAGCTGGCAAACAGATGAAGAGCTTTGCATGTGAAATATAGAAGCTCAATACAATGGAGAATGTGCGGCAATGATAATATTTTCAGTAGTTATTGAGTAATTGGTGTCACAATTTATTTCTTTTAGATGCCTAATGGATAAGAACTTCGTAAGAATTGGCAAATGGTTCATCCGGCCATATGAGAAAGATGAAAAACCCATTAACAAAAGGTAAGGATCCCAAGGGCTTTGAAGTATGCTGCTGAAATTGACGGTGCTATTTTGGTGCTTTAATTGCGGTGTTTCCCTGTTCATGTACCCACTTTCCCAGCATATTCTCTTCCCACTCTTGCATGATGATAATGAATAACTGGTCCTTGGTGGCCCCGTTAGCGAGTTTGACATTATTGTGTTGATTTCCCTCCTCTCCCAACTTTGTAGCACACTGTAACAGAAGTGGCGCAATGTTAGCACCTTTTTGCCTACTCTTTGGAATATGTTGCAGTCAGGGTTCCCTGACACTTCTCGTTTGAGAGTTGGCTATATCCAGAGCCAGGTGGTTTTGTGTGTGTGTGTGTGTGTGTGTGTGTGTGTGTGTGTGTGTGTGGTGACTTTGAGGCCTTTTTGCTTTGCTTTTGCAAGCTTATGTTGAAATATTGGACTGAGGTAGGTGTGTGTATGTGTGTTGTATATATATATAGAGAGAGAGAAATGGAAAAGGATACTCATCAATTCACACCGTCAGTGTATTAATTGTCTGCATTGCAATACTTTAAAACCTTGTAGGAAGCCCAGTGAAGTTTATAGGAAATATTGGGAAATGTAGTCTTATTGATACTGCCATAATTGGTTGCATGTGTGAATACTGGTCTACAGGAAAGTTTTGTATAAAATTTATATGTGCCTAAGGTACTTTTCAATGTTTGAAATAGGTTTCACTTAAGCAGGAAGTGGTTTTTGAGTAGTGTTTTTCTACTGATGTTATGTATTCCTCTTTTAAACACCAGTTTCAAAGAATTGCAGGAATTCAGTAATCTTAGCTAAATAGTACAGATGCATTTGGTACAGAAATGCAGCGTACTGTTGGCGGACATTAAGAAGATATTTCAGACTGAACTGTATGTTTTAAGTACTTTTAAAAAAAACTACAGTTGTTCAAAAGTGTGCTTACTTCGCAAGCAAGAGGAATGTAAAAATAGAAAAACTGATTGGTTTCTGGTGGTGTGTTGTGCTTCTGTTTGAGTCCCCAGCTGTGAAGAGAGGCTTCAGTGTGTTCTGTTTTCAGCGATTCTGCCAGTCCAGCATTTATCGTGCATACAGCTTGTTCAGTTTAAAAGCTTGGGTTTGCCCCTGAGACCACAGTTCCTTCATTGCACTTTTGACTCCTGCTTTGCATCCGTGGTAGTAAAAGCTGCAGCAACATGCTTTGTGATTTTAATGTGCTTTATAGAAAGAGGGAGGACTTTCCATGTGGTTAACTAATGCTCAGGGAAAGCCTACAGAGGCATTTGTGGCACTGCTGAGCAGATGCAGATTTCTAGAATATGCTGGCTGGAGGATTGCAGCCATCCTTATTACATTTCTTATCTAATATGTTAACTTTCACATGCAAGATAGATGTACACTTTTGTAGGGTTCTGAAATAATGTAGCTTGATATATATACCTTCTACCTTAAGTAAAGATCTGTCCTTTCCACGGTAATTTATGCTTCAGACCGTCAGAATCTTTTCAAGATGGGAGGATGACGTGGCTCAGAATCTCAGGATTCATACCCTCAAAGCCTTTGCTAGGGTTACTGCTTCTTCAACGGGTGCTTTTCAAATCTTATTTTGACTATGCCTGCAAATCACTTTTCCATTAATAGCTGGAAGTAGTTCTGAGCCAAAATATGTGAATTTGCACAATTGTAGTTTTTCTGTACTATCTAAGTCACTGCATAGCATTTCTTATATCCAGGACCACGGTGCTTCCCAGCTGTTAGGGTCACCTGAATAAAAGCAATCAAGGACACGAAAGAAGCCAGAACATAAGTTCACTGCACTCTACTGAGATACAGTACTGTGGACATCCAGCCTGCCATTTGATATTGGTACATCCCTGTAAAAAGGGTGTCTCTCTTAAATTTAAGCCATTTGGGATTAGGCCAGAGAAACAGGAACACCTGTTGCACCATCCATGGGAACTGCATGGTCTCACTCCATAATCTATCATATATTTGAGATGCTTTGCAGAACTGGTTGTGCCACACCTGCATTAATGATACTCATGGTTTATTAGCAGTATTTCAGACACTGCCTCTTCCTGAATTCTTTGTATGCTTCTACAGCCTTGGATTTTGCTGATTTTCTTCTATTATGATGGATTTATTTGATTTCAGCTACAAACCCTCCACTCTTAGCCTCCATGTGTTGTCTTTTGGAGACTTACTTGGCACATAGCCCCCCCCCATCAATTCTCCAACTTGCAGATGTTGTCTCTTTGTCCTGAAGCTAATAGCCTTTGGAGTTCTAACACAGCTATTCTGCTGGGGGCACAGTCACCTCTTGCATTCATTTCAGACTTTCTTAGTAAGTTTCAAATCAGGACTGTATAGGGCCCTGTATAATTACATGGTTTCAGTTGTCTCCTCAGTGAGTTACTGAAGCAACAGGAGGTCCATTGCTGGCCCCAGCCCAATGTTATAGAGCATCCCCTGCCCTATTCCTGATGCCCACATGCTGAATGTGGATGACTGTAAAAGGGAAACCTGCATGTGTTGATCTCAATGGGATTGAGAACCTCAAAGTATTTGGGGTTCTTGATCCTGTAGGTTTCCCTTTTGCAGATGTCCACACTCAATGTATGGACCTGGGGAGCAAGGGGAGCAAGCTGCTTGACTTTGGCAGTGCAGTTAGTGGCACAACCTCACTACTGTTTCAATGGCTGGAGACCCCACTGTGTGAATTATGCTTGAAAGGGAATAGGACATGTCCCTGAAATAAGAATATTCACCTTTGTGTTTCATTTGGCAGTTTGTAGATGGTGACTGTGATTTATGGTGAGTGGGCTGCATATTAGGCTGTTTAAGTTGGAATATGGTGGATGGATATAGTTGGTTACCAGAGGTTAAACATTAAGTACCTTAGCTTTTGGGTTGGATGAGTTACTATAGTTATGAATAGTGTAGATAGAGTTTAATACAGCATGTGGAATGTTGGATGTTCACAGGGAGGTTGGGGGTGGCTATGAAGGTAAAGGAATCAGCTGTAACTGTTGAGGTAACCCTTACTATATATGATTTGCATATAAGGTCTTGTTTGCCTGGCTTAAAGGTGCACAGTCTTAAGTACACAGGCAATTGATGTTTTCAGTGCAGTTGTAACTACCTGCAGCCACTCTAGGTTCACAAATGGCAGCTGACTGCATGAAGAGCGTCTGCCCACTTCTGTCTGTTCCATCTGTCAGTATTGTGGAGAACTGCTTTAGTTGTCTTGACATGAATGTCTTCGTTTACACAAACACGTGACACATCTGGACATCAGTTCTTTTAAGGGGAGGCCTTGTTGCTGGCTGTATTGTTCAACTAGTTGAAGTTCTAGGAATGTTTAAGCTGCTTTCCTCATTAGACACTCAAAGCTGGCGGAGTATGTAAAGGATAAGCAAAGTACCCCTGATGTGCTGTTAATTAGATTTGTCAGGAGCCCCAGTTGTGCAGCCTGCCACACAGTGTTGTCACTTACTATATCTGTAATGAATTGTCTTAAGGGCATCAGTAAACACTGAAAAGCTCCTTTTTAGTTTCTGAATGGCTATGCTAATAATGTTGCCCCTGCACGTTGGTTTGGGGGTGGGGGTGGGGAGGAAGACACTCCTCTTAAAAATAAACCACGGGATCATTAAATCTCTCTGGCAGCACAATCTGCAAAGCAAGAGTGTCTAGTTTGTGATGGTCAAAACAGAAAAAATAACTGTGCCACTTCTCAATACAGCTTTACTAGAATGTAACCCTTTCAAGTGCTGAGAGATTCTCCCATTGTTCAGTGCTTTGCATTTGGTTTAAATGCAACTTTGTATTTCAATTTCTGGAGAATTACTCTGGAATTAATGAGACTGTGGGATGAAATAGTTTGTGGATATTTATGATCAGAATGTGTTTCCTTCATTTTCTAATTCTGCAGCCTCTAATTTCATTTGTAACAAAGATAATGAAAATGAAATATCTGCAATTGCATATTAATGTTGATGTTTTAAAGTACACATATAGTGTTATAGAGCCTTGAAAATCCTTTGCTTTAAACATTTTTACCTCTGCATGAGAATAACAAAGAGTGGAGTGTGGGCAATTTCCGCAACATCACTTTGCCCATTACTGGGGTAACAATTAGTTGGCTGGAGGGAGTGTATTTTAAAGACCACCAAGCAACCCTGATCCCAGCAGTTGCAGCCACTGCTTTGTAGTTGGCCTGGAGTGTACTCTTGATGGTGGTTCTGCAACAGAGGGGTGGGGGTGGGGAGAAGCACCAGGTGAGGTGAGAGCAACCTCATCAAAGCAGGACTGGGTGGAGATGACCCATCCCATGAGAACAGCTTCTGGCACTGGGGTTGCTCCATTACTAACCTTTCTGCATGGGGCTTTTCAAAGGCCGGCCTAGGCTGTGGGTGCAAGAAGCCACAACAGTCTCTCTTGCATGCTCATATACTGCAGTTGGATGGCTTCTGAATTGTGTGGCATAGGCAAGGAGTCATAAGTCAGTGGTAGAGCACGTGCACCCCAGTTTAAATCTCTGCCATCTCTAGGGAGCACTGGGGAAAATCTCTGTGCAAAATCTTGGAGAACTATATACCAGTCAGTATAGATAATATTGAGATGGACTAATGATCTGGTCTGGCATAAGACAACTTCCTCCATGGAAACCACAGCTGTTCTCACACAGTTGTCCTGGTGGCACTGAAGTTCTAATCCTTGGTTTGGTCCACAACCTACACCCCTGCAGGTCAACCAGCAAAAGATAAACAGGGCCATTGATGTTCTCACAGAGCAGCTCTTGGCATATTAGCACAGTCGTTTGTGGTATGCTGAGCATTCTGGTCACTTACTTAGAGAACCATTTGAGCATGTAATAAAACTCAGTCATGTCCTGATTACCATTAAATCATGTAAGTTGTGGAAGGTGCAAACTCTTGGAAGTTAATTGCCTGATGTGAAGGAAGCCATTTCTAAAGATGAGGTGAATTACAGCATAATTTGAA